TTCTTGTCCGTGAAGCTGTAGCTGCTGAGGAACACGCGCCTCGCGTCCCAGTACTCGCGGCTGCTCATCATCATCAGCTGATCATTGTGAGAACCACTGTCGCTCGCGCTACTGCTCCTGGAGATCATCGTGTAGCGATGATGACGTGGAGTGGTGGGTGGCGGGTAGTATTTTACTTGTGCTTCTTGGTCTTCTTCCGCCTCGTGATCAAGGCGGCGGTGGTGGTGCCAGGCGGCGGCGGAGGTGGTCGGCGGCGGCCTGGTGAGGACGTGCTTGAGGTCGGGCCATTTCATTAGTGACTGCTGCTGGCTTGCTGCCGGCCAGATTTTGTTCCTTTCTGCACTCTTCTTCTTCATTAATTCATAATGATAATAATTAATACAGTATGCCGTCCACCTACACCTGCTTATATACTAGCTGATATCTTTATTTTTTGTTTTTTATCATTTCTTGTTTGGTTGCACTTACAGGATATGGTTTTATATTAGTCACGGTAGGTGAATCTGTATTATTGTGGGGAGAACTAGTGACATATATTGTTTTTATAATTAATTAAATTAAACAATAAAAATTGCATCATAATGGTGGATTAGTGGTTGATCCATATCAGAGGAGTTGCGTTTTCAGGGTCGCTGCGGGTTGCGCACCCACAATCCAACTAACTCCTTTTACTTCGAATTTTTTTTCTCCCCGATGAATTACTTCTTCGTTTTTTTTCCCACCCCAACAAAAATTATTATTTGGAAGGAGGCTGTTGGTGATTCGACCTTTTCTTTTTCCAGAGACAATTTGGTGATTTGACCTGCGGGTGTTGTCGCGGGATAAGACTTACGAAGCTCGTATGGTGTTTTGAGGCTCTCGCAGTTTCGAGACCAGCCTATCCCACATACGTATGTCAACTGGTTTGGCATTACTTTGGGTTTATCAGGGAGGCGACAATAGTTTCCGACCAATTGTGTTCTTACTTGCAACGATCTCCTTCATGGTCAAGTCCTCGACTAAGCTCCTCAAACTAAACCGGGTCGGCATGTCTAACTCGGCCAGAATGATGTATGGACAGACAACGCCTTAATATTACAGTCGCCTCCCTTTTCCCCTCTTGTGTGGCAAGATAACCAGATGGTACGCCTCACTAATTAGTTGGTCAACACGGTCACGACAATCCTGGTCGTGACGTTCTCCTCCACTCAATACGCAACACACCCACGTGTTGGGGAAGAATGCTTTTTTTTCGCTCACTATACTGCTACGCACATACAAAATGATCGCGGCCATTCGCATACGGCACCTTCCCCTGATAGATAAGCTCTTAACTCACGCACATGCCGCATCACCAATCGATATCAACATTCACCCTCCGCGCTTACTGGTGTTAGTACCACGGCGAACGACATTCCCGCAACCGCTACATCTCTTTGGATATCGATGGTCTTCACAATGACCTATGATGTTCCCAGCTCAACACCCCGCACAGGTGGAGATATCAATCCTCCCCCACGAAATTAAACCCGTGCCGCCCCATTCTTTTCCCCCAGCACAAGCGATAAGAAGAAGAAGGAGAAAAGGGTGCGTCGGTCCCCCCCCCCCCTCCCCCACCGCCGCCTCCATGTTTCCCGACCCCATCCCTTTCGTGTTCATAGGTAAGGATCACGAAATCTTTCGCGATTATAAACTCTATTTCGATAATCTAATCCAAAACTCATATTTTTGTACTATAGCATTTGCAGTAACGTTTGAGGGTTCGAACATCGATCGACGAGGATATCAACGTCCTGAGCAATCCGATCTAGTCCTAGGCTCGCATAGAGGTAAGGGAACTCGACCCCTTGGGGTTAGATTGATCGATTTAGTGATTTTTTCCGTGAGGGTCCAATTCTAGGGTTTTAACGACGGACTTTATAAGCTTTTCGTGACAGATTTTGGGTAGTCACTAAAGCTGCAGGAAATTTCCAGATACATGTTTTAAGATGTTTAAATTATTTCGAACCTTTTAGGTAGTTTTTTTATGGATTTTGAAATTTTATAAATTGAAGGAGGTCTAGGAGATGCCTGTTATTTAATTTGGGGATTCTTAAAGCTGAATTACTAAATTTAGAAATTGGTCAAATATTTATTTTAATTAAATAAAAATCATGTAGAGGTAATTTTATGGGTTTGATAATTTTCCAGGTTATAAGTTTTCATGATTGACATAGTAAAATTCTTATCTGAATTTTTAAGGGGTTCAAATTAGGTGAAAAATTCGTCCAATACGAAATTAATTAGGAAAAAGGGGCGGTTTTCAAGGGATTATTTCTAGAAAATTTTTAAATGAGGTTAAGGGATCTTTGAAATGAGGTTCGAGTATGGGACTTTGAGGGGAGGATGTTCTATTAAATAAAAAGGGGTTTTAAATCCAGAAAGGTCGTCTAAGAAAATGAATTTTTTATAAATAGATTTCCCAAGATAATTCGGCTAAGGAAGGATTTTTTCGAGTAAGGAATTGAAGAGTCATCTTTTCGAGGTGAATGTAAAGGGGATAATATCTCAGTTGTTGGTCTTTTAGTTTATGCTTTCACTTTAAGTAACACTAGTTAATTTTTTGAATTATGCGCGATTATGTGTGTGAGACATCCCACCGCCTACTTAAGGTAGATGCACGCGTTGTGCTTGTGTATGTGTGAATGTGTGCGTTGATGTATGATTAACGGTAAGATGAACCCCGGGCAGTTGGACCACTAATGGACCGGTAGATGGTCGGATCACTGCTGGACGACGATACGTAACGCAGTAGTTGATTAATGGTAAGATGAACCTCGGGCAGTTGGGCCACTACTAGACTGGTAGATGGTCGGATCAGTGCTGGACAGCGATACGTAACGTAGTAGTTGACAGGGCGGCTGGACGGCGAGACGTAACGCAACACCATTTCCAAGTTTGGGTATGCAACCAGACGGTGACACGTAACGCGGTTGGCATACCAAGGTAGGGACACCGGACAACGAGACGTAACGCGGTGGTCTCTAGTATTGTTGTCTATGAGTTAAGGATAGAAGTGGAGAACTTATATGAGTTATGTTGGAATAAAATAGTTAGGATGGGAGTGAATGTTAAATGTATAAGTTCTAGTTGTACCATAAAAGAATTTGTATCTTTATGTTACGGTATAACTTCAAGTTGTACCATAAAATAATTTATACAAAATAGTATAGGTACAATATAAAATTGTATCATCATAACGTTAAATGTACAAATTCAAATTGTACTATGAAAACAAAAACATATAGCACTAATTCATCTTATTTCAATTGAGTTTATATTTCAACCTTGGTAAATAGTGATGGCAATAAAACCCGAACTCACGGGTACCCACCCGATCCAACCCGGTCAATGTAGGTAAAATTCGTGTTGACCGGTTTTGTGCCGGGTTTGGGTTTAAACCCGTTCACTATTCACCGAATTTTTTTCACGGATAAACCCATTGATTTGGGTTTGACCCAACCCGACCCATTGCCATCCCTATGCGTAAATGATACCAATTACTAAATGATACGATAGGTTACCCATACTTAGCGATGGCAAAAATATCCGTAACCATGGATATCCGCCCGAATCCGACCTAATCGGATAGGGTAAAACCTGAACCCGAAAGACTTTTAGTGGGTACGGGTAAAACCCGAACCCGAATATTGCGGGTAATTGGTGGGCATGGGTTTCTCATTATCCAACCCGAACCCGCCCGATTATACACATTCGTATATATTTTTTTTAGAAATAATCAATATTTTTCTCTAAAATATTTTATATCTAGCATATAAATATAATATTTTCATGAAATTGTGTTGGTTTAATTAATTTTCTTCATTCTAGTGAATCATTGTCGTACTTTTCGTCTTACGTAACATGAGAATACGTGTGAATATTAACATATTGGTTAGAGTTATAAAGAAAAACTATTACCCATGGATAACCGTGGATACCCGAAACCCGAACGGATATGGGCATGGTTTGGATTTTCTACCCGTTTCTTATGTGGGTATGGGTATGGGTAAAACCCGAACTACTTTGGGTAGGATAATGGATATTCACTATCGGTCCCCGACTCGACCCATTGCCATTAGGGGTGGGAAATGGTGCGGTCCAGTCCGGTCAAGACCAGACCATAGATACGGTCTGTGGTCCAGACCGAAAGGTTGGAACACAGATCATGGACCAAACCATATACTATACGATCCAGACCACTCCTGTGCGGTGCGGTCCGGTACGGTCTGGACCAGACAGACCATGTTAAAAAAATTTAACTCTTATTCGCCCTCCAACCCTTCGCCGGTATCTATAAAAAAAAATTAGTGACCAATATGCTAGTGAAACAAAAAAAATTGTGATCGTATTAAATGAGAAGAAATATGAGGATAGAAGTGGGTTTTTTCAATTTTCAAATAGCCTTATTTTCCTATTCCTATTTGTGCAACCGCTTCTCTCCTTTCTCGAGTGATCTGAAGCTTCTCCCAGTTGATAACTTTTTTGATGACGTCGAGGTAATTTCGAACCACTAAGATGGTCGCATATCTCTCAATAATTTTCCTTATCTCATCAAGGTGAACGAAATTTTTTGTAGTGTTTAATTTTTATCGACTCCATAGTCTAGACATTATCTGTGAATATTATTTATGAGTCTTTCTGATTTTTGTGTGGTACTTTGATAAGGAGATAACATATAAGCGATCATTTTGCAATTTGTTGGCTCTCAACTGGATGAAGAATCAACTAACTTTGTTCTTCAAATACACATATGGGGTTCTATTTAGTGTTATTTTTGTCCAAGGTAGTAGGTAGGGTGTCGCGGTCTGTTACGGTTTACTGCGGTAGACCGCTATCCAGACCACTTCAGACCACGCACTAAAGAAGGAGACCGCAAACCAGACCAGGCCATAATTCTGGTCTCACGGTCCAGACCAAACCATACGATACGGTCTAGACCGCGGTTTCCCATACGGTTTGATCTGGATTCCCAGCCCTAATTGCCATCCCTACCCATACTCGTGCTCGTAAAAACTAAAATACTACACCGCTACTCAGCTAAGTTGAACTTAGAAAGTCAAAGTCTGGTTCTGCAGATCTGTTGAGAACTGCTACCGAAAATGGAAAAGATGAACCAGGCGTTGGAGAAAATGAAGATGCTCGTCGGAATGGAAGTCGAGGAAGAAGACGAGGAACAGACCTCCGGCCCGTCTCGGGATTCGTCCTCCTTCATTGACGACTTCAATCGAAACTGCGCCCTCTCCTCTAAGCAGGTGGGTCTTTTTCCCCCAAAGGAGATCGAATAGTCCATGCAAATTTCTCTGTCGCAGTTGGCTTCACTCATTTCAGAAACTTAATCTGTTGTCTTTACCAGAGGCTATACGGTTTCGCCATCTGCTTCGTTTCGGGATTAGCTTGTACATTTTTGGTAAGTTTCTTGTCCATCTTTATAGCATTCCTGAATCTTTCTTAGTCATAGCTTGTTTTATGGTCCGAAGAAATGAGAGTTGCCTCGGTTAAATTGAGTTAGAATGCAGAATTGCCGAAGGTTGAACATGCTAACTTGGTAAGGATGGCGCGGGGTGGAGTAAGAGAGTGATGATACTTAATTTGATGTGGCTTGAAAATTCTTTACTCTAGCCATAGGATTGATTTCAACTTCTCGTAATATAGTTTGGGTTGCTATTTGTGATCTTTAATCTCTCCGTTGGCAATGGAAAGGTTTGTCTGGATACAAGACTGTATGGGTGAATTATTGCTTTCGAAAACAAAAACAAAACCTGATCTATCCAGCTTGATTGCTCTCGTCACTGATATGGTATCTCAAAATGTGCCCTTTATCAAGTATCTGGGGGGGGTTCATTGAGAACAAACACATCAGAGTTGCTTGTTGTACATGATCGCAAGGGTGGATTGATTTTGGTTTCTTTCAGTTTGTGGAAGCTTTTGCGGTGCCCTGTAGTTCTAATTTGCTTTCTCTTTTCCCTGTTATCTTGCAGTCCATGCTGGTCTTTTTCCATCCAATCAAGTTTGGAGTTACATTCACCTTTGGTAATCTGCTTGCACTCGGGAGGTCAGTTTATTGGGTTTTCCTTTTTTGCTTCTCCAATTAGATGTGGATTTCCCTCTTTGAAGTATCGGTAGACTATAACCGCCATTTGATTCTTGACCAGAGAGTATACGGTTAACTCTACGATGAATGATCCCTTCCAAATTGCATCAGTCCAGTATCATCTTTCCCTTGAATATATTGATCGGGATATTAATGCAGTTCTTGTGTTTTCTTGGACTAGATTTTGTTTGACCTATCTTTGGGTCATGATTGATTATATATCCACTAGGAAGTTCCTAGTGGCATCTAGAAGAGGACATTTTAAGATGAGGTTTTGCGTTTTAATCTATTTAAAACCATATCGTACCGGCGGTTCGACCGGGAAAACCTCATACCGAAGGCTAAACTTGTAGACGGTTTTTAGTGGGATGAAGTGGTTGAACCACGGTTAAACCATAGTTTCAGGATAAAATACCCTGCCGATGATTTGTGTAGTACAACCTCCGACTGACTTTTCCGATACAACCTCCGGTACGGTTTTACAATCCTGGGTTTTAATCATACATCAATTTCTGATACTGGGAATGCCATTTGTTTTAAAAGATTCACATTGTATGCAGTTTGGTTCATGACCTAGTATCCCCAGTCGGAAGTTCGGAAGGGTGAAATCTTGTAGTTTTCCTCCATAGGTGTTGGCCTTTCAGGGCTAATGAACATCATAGTTATCTTTAGGTGCACAAGAATCCCTTCATATGCATGGGGCTTGCAGTGTCTGATTCTGAAAGCCTTTTTTGTAAGTGGTGACTTTCTGGGAATCTGTCTTCTTAAAAAAGAAGATTTTGTGGTTTGCTAGTTCAGTTTTCTTTATTCTTTTTATATGCATGCTGTTTTCAATTTTGCAACTCTTCAATCCATCAGCACCTGATGAAGTTCCCTTATAATTTCTGCCATTGATCATGGTGGTAAAACAGTAACAGGATAGACATACTACTTATGTTCTTTCCAGTAGCTTTTTCATATGTGCCAGTTGCTAATTTGGAATGTTCTCTGTCACAGTACAGCATTCCTGATAGGTCCAAAGCGCCAAGTTACTATGATGCTTGATCCTGTTCGAATATATGCCACAGCTCTGTACCTTGCGAGCATTATTATTGCATTGTTTTGTGCAGTCTATGTAAGTTGGTCATTACCTATCTTTTCTATTCCTGTTTAGTAATTTTAGTACAGAAAGCACCATAACCTGTTCCTAATATCTTCTGGTCTCCTGTCACTTTACTGAACAGGTTCACAGCAAGATCTTGACACTTTTTGCGGTCATATTAGAGTTTGGAGCCCTATTTTGGTACGTTGAATCTGATGCCTAGCTAACTTCTTAATCGACTTATCTGGAATTGTGTATTCCTTTGGGTTTGCCTGACCGTTATTTTCTGCTCAACTTTAGACCCTGCATTCCATGACTTTATCTAAGCATGATATCAATGTTGCATCCTCACACTCAACGTGGTCTCGTATCTAGTTCCTTCTCGTCCATGTTATTTATTCTGGGTTTTGCTGTTTATTCATCATACACAGGTACAGCTTGAGCTATGTTCCGTTTGCACGTTCCATGGTATCAAAAATCATGGTTGGTTGCTTTGACACCGAATTCTAGTTAGGTATGAGTCTGGTAAAGAAAGAATCTGGCATCAATCAGATAGAGAACATGTAGCTTGATACCATGAACGGTGAACCTTGATGCTGCAAAATGTTTACGGATTTATTCTGAATGTCTGATGTGGTGATGGGGTTTCTTTCGTAGTGCACCTTCATCCTTCAATATCCCCACTGACACCTGATTGATTTGTGAGTGAACCACCTTGAACTCCTGACCTGCTCATTGCAAATGCTTTTATATGTTTGGCCATCTTCGCCTGGAAACTTTTCTTATTCTGCATGTAAATGTTTCGTCTTTTCTGTAACCTGAAAACGAGATTTCATGCTATTTTGTTGCTGGAGTAGAGTGCCCCCCTTAGCCCCTTAGCAATTAGCATTGTAATAGTCGACTGTAACACTGAATGCTTTTGAGCGCTGCGGATGAAATTGAAAAGCTCAAGACACCTAAATGCATGGAGAAAGTGGTGCAAGTACTGACTACTGAGATATCAAATCCCATACTGTAGTTGGATAGATAGATTTGGATTTTGAAATTCCAAAGTTCAGTGTTTGGTAGGTATTTGAATTTGGGCTAAATCCGTCTAGTATTTCAGCCGTCAGAAAAGGTGATATTCCAAATACCCAATGGATCCTACTGATTTGAATATACAATTGGATGACTGAAGCTCGCTGGTCCGGTGGAGTCCAAAGGCAAATCGTTCCTACACCCTCTCTATTCTTTCCGACCATTCATCGCCTTTGAGCCACACTCGCTCCCCTTCAGCGCCAGCCACTTCCCTGCCTCCGTCGCATACTCGCATTTGAGTCATACTCCCTTCCCTAGTGATTTCAATTTGAACCCGCCTTGCGGGTAAGGTATTATCCGACCTGACTCGCGATGGGTGGGTATTACCTGATCCGCAACAGCGTGGGGTAGAGCATTGGTATCTACTTCCGACCCGACCCGCCCTGCCCAGCCCCACCCCGTTCTATACCCATTTTATCTCAATTTCTTACGGTATCTATACATATTTCTCCTATTTTGACTTTTAGTCAATTAGTTAGAGTCGATATTTCAACTTGTTAGACTCAATTACCCATTTTATTATCAACATTTTTCTTTCACAAAGTGTTTCCCCTTTGTTATATCGTAAAAAGTAAAATTTGCGTGTATCTTTTCCAAACATGTAAGAGTGGGTCGACCCGTCCCGACCCGTACCCGCGCGGATTTTACCCGTCCCGACTCGTAGTAGCGTTGGTTGAACATGAGAATTGAGATACCCGCCCCTCCCCATTTGCCATCACTACCCTACCCCTTGTCGCTTTCCCTCCTTTTAATCCATAGAATCCAAAGCCCGAAGACAAATTGTTTCTTCACCATCTTGCTTCAATAATTCTCGCTCTCCCCCACCATTGCCATTGACGTCGCACTCGCTTACCCTCACCAATGGCCAATAGCTTCCTCACCTCCATCATTGATAAGCGCATAAGCATTTCTTGCAGGTATGAGTTTCCTTGTTTTAGTTTCTGCTATGGGTTTGAAGCAAGCTATATTATGGTTTTAGTTTGTTAGAGAAGTGGGTTGATGATTGTTTGGTATTGGGTGCGATGTCTCAATGTATGGGATATGGGTTTTTATTACTTACTTCCACTGAACTACACTCAGTGGTTGGTTACACTTGGCCCTCGATTGGGAAAGTAGTTTAGAGCAAGTCAAGTTTTTGGCGCCGTTGTCGGGAAACTCTAGATTATCGGGAAAGGCTTAGCTTTGTTAATTTAGCTTTCTTTGTTTTGTTTTCTTTCCAACTTTGCGTATGAAGTTGTTTTTGTTTTTTAGGTTGAATCATGGATCCCAATGACTTCTCTAACATGTGGAGGTATCCACCAACACCAGAATGAGGTTACGCAGAAGCTTCATGGGGCAACCAAGATGGTGGAAGCCAAGTATTTGCGTTTTACCAACCTCTCTTCAATGAAGAACAACCATACAATGAGGATTTCAAGAAGCTTCTCTATACCAAGAAGACTTTCTTCCACAACCCGAGATGAAATCCAAGTTGGAGCTGGCTATGTAGGCTTTCATGAGACATTCATAAAGACCATGTGACACTCCACAACCGGATGCCAAGAGTTCATTGCAGCTTGCCATGGAGAAATTTGAAAGAGCTTGTTCGAATGAGGCTTACCAACCCCTGCCCCTCCTGATTTTGTAGCTAGAAGAGAAAGTCGAGCAACCTTGTGCATGATTTTGTCTCTTGACATTTGAAGTAGAGGAGATTGAAGAGGCGATTAGTGACGATTGTATGGAGCAAGATGAACTCATCACGTAGAGCTCTCATGGCGAGGATGATCAAGAGTGCCTCATTGACGACTTTCACACCTTTTCCCATCCCAAGATCAAATTTGAAGACCAAGTCTAGAGGGTGGAGGAGCAAGATGACCTTATCGAGAACCTTGCATGACAACTTGTCCTCCAATCCGTGCCTGAAGAAAAGGATGGCAAGGTGAGAAAATAGTTTGAGGAGGAGGAAGTGAGCATCGAAAAGAGGAAACTCTTGATTGTTTCCAAGGGGATTATGAAAAAGGAAGGGAGGTTGAGGAGGTAAGTGGCGTCTGATAAATGGATGAGTTCGGGGTGGAACGAAACTTCTACAAGTTACAAGTACTAGCAAAACTTTCCACCTGACCTTGATAAACTTCTTGAGCTTTATTTTGTATTGTAGGATTTTTTGTATGAGTCTAGTGTCTACTAGAAAAGAAACATGAAAATCAAAAGATTGTGAAGGAGATCATCAACGAAGGAGAAACATCTAGTTCACCCTTGTTGAGATCGAAAATAGGAGCATCTAGATCAGGAGAGGAGGATGCTTTAGCCAATACTCTTCTCAACTTAAACTCGAGTTTGGCGAAGGAAATTGACAAAGACTGCAACTTCGATCTTGGAGAAGAAGCATCCTCTATAGCACGTTCCACATCAATCATAATGGGAGATGAGCAAAGAATGGCGGTCCCACCTACTTTTTATGAGTATTCAAGACCAAGAGCTTTAAATAATATTACTTCGAGCATTGTTGCGCCACCAGCAACCGTGGAGATCCGCACATCCTTGATGCCTATGGTGCAACAAGCTGGGAGATTTGCAGGAAGAAGTGATGACAATCCGGTGCAACATCTAAAGATGTTCTTGATGATCATAGACTTCGTCCAGGAGACGAAGCCACCAAAGGTTCCATTCGATTGAGAGTATTCCTTTTCTCATTGACCAAAAAAGAAAAGAAATGGCTAGACCAACACCTTCACCAACTGGGAGATCCTGTAGAAGGCATTCATCGAGGAGTTCTTTCAACCTTGGCTGATGAAAGAGCTTAAAGATGATATCTCTCTATTCCATCAAAATGGACGAGAGACATTCTATGGCGCTTGGAAGAGATTCCAAGATCATATGAAGGCATGCCCCATCATGGATTCACCATGGAGCAAATACCAAAGTACTTTAAATAATATTACTTCGAGCATTGTTGCGCCACCAGCAACCGTGGAGATCCGCACATCCTTGATGCCTATGGTGCAACAAGCTGGGAGATTTGCAGGAAGAAGTGATGACAATCCGGTGCAACATCTAAAGATGTTCTTGATGATCATAGACTTCGTCCAGGAGACGAAGCCACCAAAGGTTCCATTCGATTGAGAGTATTCCTTTTCTCATTGACCAAAAAAGAAAAGGCTAGACCAACACCTTCACCAACTGGGAGATCCTGTAGAAGGCATTCATCGAGGAGTTCTTTCAACCTTGGCTGATGAAAGAGCTTAAAGATGATATCTCTCTATTCCATCAAAATAGACGAGAGACATTCTATGACGCTTGGAAGAGATTCCAGGATCATATGAAGGCATGCCCCATCATGGATTCACCATGGAGCAAATATCAAAGTACTTCGCCAAAGGCCTAGATCGAGACACCACAATAATGATGGACTAGTCAGCCGATGGTATTTCACACAAATGATGGAAGTCCAATGCTAGGAACACTTCATAACACTTGCTATAAAGTCAAAGAATTGGTCCTAAAGATCAACGAAAAAGCCAATGAAGGCGGCCCAAGAAAGCGAGGAGGTGAATACTGACGTAATATCAAGTGATACATACTAGGATGCCCTAGGGTCGTTTTTCTCGAGATCTTCTAATGCATAACTACTCATAGAAACCATAATGACATACACAAAATAAGCAAACAAACAAGAAGAGTAAAGTTGTTTAGGAGTTTTTTATTGGGTTAATACTTTATTTTGGCACGAACTATGACCATATAATCAACTTTGGCATGTGGTTTCAGAAATTAACATTCTGAAACTACGAATCAAAATTGATTATATTGTCATAGTTCAGACTTAAGACCAAAATAAGGTATTAACCCAAATTTATACTCAAACTTCCCACCTTTTCCCACCTGCAGTCCGAGCTTACACATTTAACACCCAATACTATACGCAGCTTGAAGGCGCGAAGCCGGTAACTAGGTCAGCTAAAGAAGAAGGCGACGATGATGGTTGAAGGTGGAGTCCGCAAACGGAAGACGAAGCAATCGAACTTATCTCCACGCCTAGTCCGTGTTAAGGATGGCGATGCAATTGATGCCTCCTCCGTCTCCCCACTGCTACTTGCAACGCTCGCCGACGATCCCAATTCCAGTTCCCGCCGGCCATTGATTCGCCGTTGCTTGATGCACCTGCGGTCATCTCTTTTCTCGCAATCCCCACCACAAAAGCTTTCCGTTACCCTCCTCCTCTCTTTCCTTCCCACTCTCCTTATTTCCAAGTAAGCAACTCTTCCATCTCTGTATGTTCTGTGTTTCGATTGGTTTTTGTGGGAATTCATCGAATTATTTCTCAGGCACGAAGACATCGCTCGTCTCGCCTCGGAGACCCTGGGTGCGGCGTCACTGTGCTCACTTGAAACGAATGAAGATATTGTCATGGATGCTGTAGTTGTGAGGGCTCTAATCCATGCTTTGCGAAGTTCCAGGATGAAAGTTTCGATGGCTGCATGTAATGCTATCTTGGATTTGTCGACTTCTTCTGCCGGAAGGCAGCGGCTGCTTGAGTTATCTGCGTTACAGTTCCTTATGTGAGTGTTCCCGTTGCTCTGATTTCTTCCCTCTTTCTCCCATGTGCGACTATGCAATACATTGATTTGAGAAGATCCTTTTATTCTTTACCCCTGTGATCTCTGTAACACTTTAAAAGGAGGCAGAGGTTAAACTGACAGTTGAGTTTGCGAGAAAATGATCTTCTGTGCTTCTATGTTGTATCTTGACCTATTCTTTGTCCATGTCACTGGAGATTCTTTGAACATAACAATTTGCTCCCATTAGCTCCAAATGCTTGCAGATACATATTTCACCGTCGGTGGTATCTCTGTTGTGCAAGGGAAACACGAGGAGAAAGAGTAGCTTGGCATCGAGAGAAGATCAATATGCAGTCTCACTTCTACATGCCGTTATAACTTTAGTTAATGCATGTAATGTTGAGCAATTGGAAAGGTTCTGTGGGAAGGATATGCAAGAATTTTGGGTTTCTTTCACAAAGCTATGGGCAGAAGTACACAATCAGGTGTTGCATGACACCGGCCTAAAATCTGGCAGACAAGTCTCATGTGTGAATAATACCGGGGTTAACGGCCTGGCTCATAGCATCTTTAAGCTCTCTCTTACTTCTAGCCAACTTGCTCCCTTGCCAACTGCATTTGTCAAAAGGAGCATATTTGGTCCGGGGGAATCTTGTTTTGAAGCTTTCTTATCAAGTCAGTGGGAGACGTCGCCCCTGATGGTTAGAAGACATTCAGGCTCTTCGACTGAGAACGATGGAATACTGGGCTTGTTCTCTGAATGTTTAGGTCCTATGGAATCATTTCCCACCTCCCTTTGTTCAATGCTTCACGGTTTTGTTTCTTGTCTGCCTATTGATTCTGATGAGTTGGACATATTTAGTTTTCTGGAGGATGTGAAGAACGAACTAGGCTGTCCAATAGTTTACCAGCAAGACTTGCGGGTGCTAAGAACTGAAAGCCAGTCCAAAGCAGAGGTCCATTTTTTCAACGAGAGCACGAGCACATGCTACACAAAGCCCCTACATTTTCTCAGCAGCTCTGACATGGAAAATTGTGAAGAAGCTTACAGACGTGGTTATACTATTGCCCTACGTGGCATGGAGTTCCGCTTTACATGCATTGCAGCTATAACAGATGCTCTAGCATCTTTGTTTGGTCAACCGTCTGTAGGGGCCAATCTATACTTAACCCCACCCAACTCTCAAGGCCTGGCTTGTCACTTTGATGACCACTGTGTATTTGTATGCCAACTGTTTGGTGGTAAGCAATGGACCATCTATCCTCCAAGTTTGCAACTACCCCGGTTGTATGATCAACTTGATGGACGACTTGGTACCAGTGCTGAGTGCTTGTTAGATAGACACAGAAAATTCTTGCTTAGTGAAGGCGACATTATGTACATTCCAAGAGGCTATCCGCATGAGGCTTGCACATTTGAGGCTGGAGCTGCTGCTTCTTCCAATTTCTCGTTACATCTCACAATTGGTATCGAGGTGGAGCCTCCTTTCGAGTAAGTGAAAATTTAATGTGGTTCTTGTTACATCTCACATTTCGCGTCATGTTTCTCTGAAAGTATGCAGCTTATGTTTGTGATAATGTGATTCTTACTTCTCTATTGTGTTCTTAGATAAAGGGTCACGGAACTTTACCATAGCCATCAGACATTGCTTTAAGAAGACACACATAGAGCCAGCATTTTTAATTTCTGACTAGATTTCATTTTCTGCTTCGTATGATGAATCTAATTCTGTCTGTAGTAGATGAGAATGACAGATTTTAAAGAATTAGTTTCTAACAGCCTGTAGAATTGCTGATCTTCTGTTTCTTTTCTGTGCTGTTTGAACATGGTATCCTAACGGTGAGGGGAAAACATTAAGACGCTATCTCTTGTGGGAGTTAAAACCTTAGTAACAGGGCTCATATGGGTTGGGCAATGCTGTTGTAGTACTTTATAATTGCAAGCCTGAATTTTGCTGAAAAGTAAGAAGTTTGCAGTTATCCTAGTTAAACATGTGTAAACTATTCAAACTGCAATGCTGCGATTGGTACTAGAGATGGATCAGGAACCAAAGATGATGAAGGAAATAATCAATGAATTGGCCATGGTGTTTGAGATAGCAATCACGGTTACTATCATATTCATCGCCTCTGTTGTATTTGTTTGTAGAAAGAAAATGGACTGAGAAATTGAGTCAGTTTATACAAGGAAGTTAAGAGATGGCTAAAGTGATTCTGCGCCAAAGAAAAAGAGAGAACTATTTTTACCCACTTCCTTTATATTTTTCTAGCGACAAACAAAGGCGAGATGACAAACATTTTTTGGGTTAGTGTCACAGGTGTTAGTAACCGGTATATGATCCACAATTGAACCTCTCCCAATAACTCGAGTTATTGGGATCCACGGGTTATTGACATGGTATCAGAGCATTCTGTGACCGAGAGGTCTTCTGTTTGAATCCCGGTGACCCCCCATCTGTTTCTGTTAAACACATGGTGTCCGGACATGTGCAAATTTCAAGCCCATATATAGTGGCTTTCGTTTGAGGGGGGTGCGAGGTTGGAACTCGACCACGTCAAAACATACTTCTTCATTTTTAGTACCACCACCTACCTCAGGGTATGTTTTCAGACGGGACATCATTTGTTTTCGAAAAAACTGACGAACTTGATCAGTTACATGTATGTCCAAAGTAATCTAGTTTCAAACTTGCGATATCATTCCAAAGCTTCTGTTTCACTGGTTGGGGGGATTCAATGTCAGGATGGGTGATTATACAAATCTTGAGCGGGAATGCCTGTCATTGTGTTTGATTAATCCCATGTTTGGAACCATCGGATGAATGCTACAATTCAGAACTATATTGCCAGTTCACTTACGGTCTGCATCTATCTAATTGCAGGTGGGAAGGATTTCTGCATGTTGCACTCCATATTTGGTATCTGAGATGGCAGAAGCAGAATCGCACTCTCGCTGAACCATTGTTTCTTAGTCTAGGTGAAATGTCTGTGACTTTATTGCATGCAGTGATTGAGGTGCTTGGTGCTTCTGATCCAACTTTTCGTAAGGCTTGTTTTGCTGGTGCTCTTGCTCCGCCGCTTGATAACAATAATTGGCTCTATTCAAACCAGAAAACTGCATACAGTTCTTTGGTCACCAAAATCAGTACAGGTCTTGCTATAGTGGAACTGCTGAAGAAGGTGGAACAAAGAGAAAATTTGTGTGAAAGGTTGAGATGGCTCTGTCATCTTGACTCTGGGGAAGAAACGAGCAAAGACCTTCGCCACAGGATAAATTTCACAGGAATTCAGGATATATTGGCTCTATATTCTGAACATAAAGACAGAGCAGAAGCTTCATTCTTGTTTGTTAAATCCAGGTTCTGCGGTGAAGCCTTGTTTGATGATGCAATTGGTAGCTACAAAATGTTACTTGAAAAGTACAAGAAGGTGAGAAATGAATACAAGAATGGAATACTTTCTTTGCACCAGAAGAAAAACTTGTCCTAGGGAATGTGTTCAGCACTTTGCCACCATGGCCAAATGGATAAAAGGTCAGAGCACTATGGATTTCGTTCCATTAGCCACTGGAGCAGCTTGTTGAATGGCTCAACATTATGGATCTCTCAACTGATGACAATGCAGCATTCACTTTCTATGCAGAGCAATGAACGATTTTACATTAGAGTGACAACAAATGATCCAGAAAGGATGGAGAACTCTCATAAAGCAAACTATACTAGAAGAATTGGGGAAAAAAGATAATTATTCTATGATTTTCTTGGGGGATTCTGAGAGGTAACTCTAAGCTTGCGACTTGCATATTGAAGTTTTCTGGGACCATCTGGCAACCTGAGATTGCATTCTATGGTCTATCCCTCGGAGTCGGATGAGTTGTCACACCATTGTAATCTATGTGGTAAATAAGCTCATCGACATGGTCACTGCTGTTGAGATTCTTAACTTGTTCCTCCTGTGCCTTGATATTCTTTTGTTTGTCTTCCTCTAGATCCTGCAATTGCAGAAATATACATAGGCAATGTCAGCTACAATGACAGCATTCCGGGTTTGTTGAGACACATTTATAACTAGCTGTAGCATGAATATGCAGAGGCCTTCCTTGTGAAGTAGGTTCTTACGAGGGGTACACTTGCTACAGTTCACACTTAAACTTTCAAATGCAGGTTATGCAGAGAAATGATATGTTGGAAGAGAAGAAGAGCACTTAAGACTGTAAGGACATACCTTGTTGCTGTCGTATGCACTAAGTTTTGTGGGAGATGTGGGCATGTTCCAATCTCTCATAGATCTCATGCTTGGATGGGGAAGCACAGTAGACGGCGAGCCGAAACTACGGGAATAGAAACAGAAAGCAGTTGCCAGGAGACAGAGAAATGGAAGAAACAAAGCTTTCATTTTGTTAGATGGTCCTTTCTCTATCTCCCCTTTTCTGGTAGTTTTGGTTCAATTCTGGGGGAAGAAAGAAGTAGCTGTGAGATGGGAAATATAGCTAAAGAAATTGTTGTGGAGGGAGAAAGAGAGTCTGAGTGAATTATTGCCAGACCAGAGCCCATGCCGATGATGCCGTTGTGAGACCAAAAGATGAACACTGGACCACCATTAACATCCTGATTTCCCATTCTGCGTGTCTCCAGCCAAAGGATGTGTTTGCTGCCCTGCCACTGCCAGGCAAGACTTCTTCCATGAGTGATTGATGTTTTTGTCTATTCCAATGAAAGCGGCCAGACACAGCTTGTGTGATCTTGTTCCTATGCTGTCTCCTTGTCTCTGTTTAGCTCACTCACACCAATCTTCTTCATGTGCTGGTGCATTCTTATGGAATGAAACATTGAGGCATTATATTTGACAGATATTATGATAATTCATTAAGGGTGTGGGATATTAGTTGCATATGAGATTTGGTTTTGTACCAAGTTCATGTGGGTAGGAATGGCAATGGGGCAGGTCCGGGGCGGGTATCTCGATACCCATACCCGCCCCATGACAGGTCGGGTCCAGGTCGGGTAATTTATTACAGGGCGCGGGTTGGGGCAGGTCGACCCAATGAGTATGTAATTTATGTGAAAAACATTAGAAAATTTTGTTATTTTCATTAAAAACCCAAGAAAGAAACCATAATATGATAAAATCTGGTTAAATTATTGAAAAAATTGAGGTTTTCACTTAATTGCAACTTTATTATAGCTAAAATATAGTGTAATAAGAGGAAAATCCTGAGTAATTTGACTAAGATTATATGTAATTTAGGCAAAAACGGGTCGAGAATGGGGCAGGTCAGGGCAGGTCGGGTCGATGAGAGGTACCCATGCCCGCCCCGCCCCGCCTACGGGGCGGGTTTGACCCGCCCCAAAACAGGCCAAACAGGTCGGGTAAATCGGGTCAGGTCAAAATTGCCATCCCTACATGTGGCGATTTCCAAATAATCGTCTAGTTTATTACTTGTAAATTTCAAATATATATAAACAACTAGTGATTTAAATTGGACCAGTTTGTAAATTTTTTAAAATTTAGGTACTAGTGGAATGAAAAAATAGAAAGGTATTATAGTGTAGTTGTTGGGTATACTTAAAGGGCCCAAATTAAATGGGAAGTCCGCTGGACCATCGTTCGGGTAAAGTGGAAATAGGCCAATTAATCAACTCCATCATCGAAACGCATAATGACGAATTGAGCAACTGTCCAGAAGTGTACGAAAGAGTGTAGACTTGAGTCATGTGTCTCAAATTCATGAGGAGGTTGTCAAATGGTCGATGCGCATAGTCGTTCGAAAGTACGAAGCATTAATTATGACGTAGGCGGATGAAGGCGAAGTTTATCGAAAAAACTCCTGGTATAAATAGGGGGCATGTAATCGCATTTAAGTATCTGACTAAAGTTTGAACTATTCACTTCACTCTCTAGAAAGCTCCCTGACTTGATTGTTTGAGGCTTCACAGGCTCTACGAGCCCCGTGCATATCTTGTGGAGGCCAGTGCGCCCCATTTGAAGTTGAGAAGGTACTTATGATAATGATAGATGAGAATTCTAGTAGGATAGCGATTACTAGCGATATGTTGACTACTACTAATCAAAAGAAGGGATTTATGGTGGTGACTGCCTATTTCATTTATGTTTGTTGGACAATGCGGAGCTACATACTTAGTTATCTTGGTGTTTTTTTTCAAAATTTTCCTTTTTTTTAAAATATTGACAGGACCTAATCGTTTGTTCTTTTTTATATTTTTATTGCAGATTTATGCATGTACATACTAGTGAAGTGCTTGCTTAGATTCTTAATGAAACTTTGCTTGAGTGGAATGTTGATACTAAGTTGGGTGCAATTACATTAGACAACTGTTGTACAATGATGCATTGATTGTGTGGTCATGGTTTAAGTTGAATTCTGAGCATTTAATGTGGTTTGGGTCTAAAATCTACATGCGATGTTGTGCTCATATTCTTAACTTGATAGTTAAGGATTGATTGGATGTGATAAAGAAGAGTGTAGAACGTATTCGTAATTGCAATTTTGGACAACAACCCCTAAAAGGATTCTGCATTAAAGTATAAGGATGTGTTTCATCATTTGAAGCAAACGGAGAAGGATTACAAGAGTTTACCTAGTGAGTCTAATTGGGAGTTTACAAAGAAGGTTTATGAGAAGTTGGAGTTATTTTATGATGTGATTGAGTTGTTTTCATGGGCTAAATACCCAACTTCCAATTTATTCTTTGAAAATGTGTGCGAATAAAGGTGGGCATCTCTAATTGAATGTTGGATGATTATTCTTTCATTAGAGATAGGGCCAAAGGCATGATGACAAAATTTGATAAATTTTGGAGTACTATTCATGATGTTTTTGACAATTGCTATTCTATTTGATCCAATGTATAAGTTTACCTTGTTGGAGTGCTACATTTCGTATATCTATGGTGATGAGTGAAGGGCATGTATTGAGAGTGTTTGACAATTATTGGTTGAATTGGAGAAGGATATAAGAAGTCAAATGTGGATGGGAATGGAGATACAAATTCGTCACAGATAGGAGTTTCAATTAGTCAAGGTGGGGGAAGAATGAAAACATATGATAGGTGCATAGCATCATTGAGTACTTGTAGTTTAGATGTTGAAATTGAGTTGGATAGCTATCTCAAGCAGAAAGTCTTGCCCAAGATATGTGGATTTTACATTTTATTGTGTGGGAAGGCAAATGAGTCAAAGTATCCGAATTTAGCATTGATTGCTAGAGACATACTTGCAACTCCAGTGTCTAGTGTGATTTTCGAGTATGCTTTTAGTGGTGGTGAAAGACTAATTAGCCCTAGTCGTGGCATACTTCTTCCCGGAACTTTTGAGGTTCTGATGTGTGCTGAAAATTGATTGCTCAATTAAACTATTCTAGGTAGCTTGATAACCTTTCATGTGAGTTATGATATTGTTGGCTACAATTATTTGCTCACTTGCTATTCTATTTGCAGATGACTTGGATAAACGCATGAGTTATACAACACCATTAATGATGACCAAGATCCAAATTTTGCTTCATTTGTTGATAGTATGTTTAATATTCTAAGCAATGTATCTTCCTTATATTTATGGAGACACGTTTAATTTCTTGTTCATACTAATTTGTAGAATGAAGTTGATATTATGAAGTGGAGAGTGAAGCTAAATGACAATTTTCAAGTTCTCAACGAGGAAGTGTTCAATTAACCGTGTTGTTGAAGATGTTTATCTTTAATATTGAACAGTTTGTATTAGAGTTGTCAAATGGATTGATCCATGGATTGGTAGATTGGATTGGTGGATCCATGGATCAAATGGATTGGATCCAATGGATTGGTGGATTCATGGCTTGGATCAAGTGGATTGGTGGATTATCCATGAATCCAAATGACATCCTCAACCAAAGACCAATATGTAAAATGTGAAAAGTTTAGGTACTAAAATGTCATAATGAAAAATTTTAGGTACCAAAACATAATTTTCCAATGATATTTTTCTTATAAAAAACTAAATTTTGGGTACCAAAATGTAAAATATAAAAAGTATATGTACCAAATCGTAATTTTCCATTTGGATCCATGGATCAATCCATGAATCCACCAATCCAATTGGATTTGGATCAAATGAATTGGATTTAAATGGATTGGATTATGTGGATATTTTTAATGGGTCGGTGGATTGGATTAAGAATTGCCACCTCTAGTTTGTATGGATAATTTGTGGGTTTGCTTGTATGGACTACATTGGTGTCTTTTGTATGGAAAGACTAGTGTTAGACTTTAATTTTGACAGGAAATTGGTGTTATGTATTTTTATCCATAAAACCCCATGGATATCCATAAACTGACGGATACCCAGTAGGTTGGGTTTGAGGTTTCAAAAACCATTGGTTTTCCACAGGTTTTTTTTGCGAATATACCTGCTGGTTTAGGTGTGAATTTGGAGCTTGAAGACTGTTCCAACTTTGAGTAAAGAAGATGATGCTTTCTCTTTTCCTTCTATTATTTTCTCTGTACCATTCATGGGGCGAGCACCTTCTATTTTGAGGTAAGTAAACCCCTATCTAAGTAGATGAATGTTAAAGATGTATTATTGGTGTAATATGTTTAATCGCCTTATTTATGGTTACTTGATTCTAAATCATGCCAATCTCTTACTTTGAAAAGCTATTTTATGGAATTTCACCACTTAATTGTTAGGTTAACTAGGAACAAAGATTTGAAGTATCATAAATCGAATGACCTGTGGAATACTATCTCGATCACTAGTTTACCAACCTAGGTGTGCATGTTCTAGATTGGGGTAGTTAGTATTGTTGATGAACTGAGATATAAATTGTAAAGCATGTAATCATGATATCTGTCCAAAAATAAAACAAGAACAACAGTGGAATCTCATATATCATGATATCTGCCCCTAGAAGCTATTCGTGTAAGACTTTTCTCATTTTCTTTGAATGGGGTAGCTAAGGAGTGGTTGGTAAACCAATCGCCTCTATCTATCGACCCTTGGAAAGACCCTTATGAGAAGTGTATCAATTGTTACTTTCCTCCGTCTAAGGCATCTCAGCTAAGGTGAGAAATCTAAAACTTCCAACAACGGGTAAAAGAGCAACTCCATGAAGCTTTGAGGCGATATTCTTATCATCCCCCAATCATGAATCTGAAAATTGGCTTCAACTAGTTTGTTTTTACAATGGACTACGGAGCGAATATAGAAAACTCATTGACACAATCAGAGGAGAGACCATAAGAAACAAGAATACGGAGCGAACATAGAAAACTCATTGACACAATCAGAGGAGAGACCATAAGAAACAAGAATCCATATCGAATTTATGAGCTTTTGGATCAAGTGGCCTCGAATAGACGAGGCTGGAAAGATTATAAAAGAAACAATGCTTCTGACAAGGAAGATGTACTCACCACAATTCATTATATTGCAATGTATTGACGTTGAATTTCTACTCCTGGTAGTTCTTAAAGAGCTTCGTAGAGTTCTGTAGGAAGGGTTGAAGAATTACTCTGACCGATCAATGGAGTGTGGAGGAGCGAGCATAATTCATCGTCGAAAGACTCAATATCCACGACTCCGTGGAGATGAAAGGGAACTTGTTGATTGTGCTGACAGAAAGGAGTTAGAAAAGAAACCTCTTGCAAGGCAAGGTATGTACGTACATGGAGATCAAGGAAACTAATTGGTGTCATGGAATTGAAAGTGAAATTATTGACTTGGATTTTAAGATGACAATGGAGAATTGAGAAATGGCTTGAAAGAAATAATCGCTAATTATTTTTTATCAATATTATATGCCTAATAAGCTGCATGACGTGGCTGATTAAGAGTTGACGTGAATATCGTGTGGGCATACATGTACGTCCACCTTAGCTAGCCGTTAACGGTTC